TAAAAGAGTCTATAAATGCTACCAGAGCCTTTGATTTCTGTGTAAAAATAAGGTTATCTACTTTATTGTATACAAGTAGTCCTTCACAGCCGAGCCCAGCAATATCTTTTGCTAAGCGAGAAAGTGTTTTGTGAATTTTTCTGCATTTTGTGACCTTTCTTGGCACACAGTTGGTAAGTGAATCACTGCAGTTGTCACCTTACTAGTGTTGTCAAGTGAATCTGACTTCCCTATTGACTTTGTTTATCAGAAATTTGCAAAAGATTATCACAGTTCCTTGGGGGATTACAGTTGTCTTACGAGTCAGTTGCCAAGAGTCTGTAACAATTACCCAATCCTTTAAGTTCTGTATAGAAAGAAAATTATTTTCTGTTTTGTTCCTGCAGCTATCTGTCACTTTTTTATTAATTCATTTTTAAGGAAAGATAGGTATTTCATAAGCAGTTATTGAAAAACTTTATAATTGATGGCTTTTGTAGTTTTTCTATTGAAAGTACCGTAAACAAGTACGTTTGATCATATCTAACTTTTGATTGAAATGTCAACAATAAGTAATAATGAAAGATAACTTTTTAATGCTTCTAATATAGCAAATCTTCTGATAATATAGAGAACGTCTGAAGCATTCAGAATGATTTACCGTATTTAGTACATATGAAATTATCTCAGTAATGAATACCAATATTGTGTTGGGTATTTTTATGAACTTAATAGTATGAAAACACATCGTGTTTTCCATTGTGACTATAATTTGTCTAAAATCACTTCTGCTCTCTATATATTTATGTTAACAGATTACCATATTTTTGGGATTATAAGCGGGTGGAAATGACTGTGCATCATATACAGCGAATGTTGTCAAAGCCAGGCCCACACACTGGCCCTCACCCTTTGGCTGTTTTCGGCTTCTATGTGTCGTGTATTCAGCCTTTGCACACTCCATCTTAGACCCATTCCAGGCCACAGGGATCCCTGTCACCTGGAACTGGCTGAAAACATGACATGTGGAGGCCAAAATGGGGCGTACAGAGGCCGAAAATGGGATACACAGGAGCCAAAAATGCAATGCATGGAGGTGGTGATCATCAGCAATGTGGTATGGCAATCCTAGCAGCCTGGAATGGATCTAAAATAGAGTGTGCAAAGGCAGAAAATGCTACGTGCGGAGGCCAAAAATGTGACACATGGAGGTCAAAAATATAACATGCAGAGGCAGTGATGGGCTGTGGCGATCCCCACAACTTGGAACAGCTGATTGGTGGTATTCTGGGAGCCCAATCCAACCACCAATCAGCTGCTCATGCTGAATCAGGTTGTGATAACATGCTGAAGCTAACCAGGCTATTTGCTATTTGCTGCAAGGACGCTAGCTAGATGAATACCGATGGATGCTGGCAGGCAGAGGCAGAATTTTTTTTCTTATTTTCCTACACAAAAACTAATGTGTATCTTATACTCCAGAGCGTCTTATACTCTGAATAGTACGTTAATTATATTTGAGTTACAAAGTAATCTAATCAACCAAGCACAGAAAGTTTGTTACAAATTAGGAGGCATAAAAACAATTCAAAAATGCCATATCAAGTGTACATGCTGTCAGGGTTCCAAGTAATAGCCCATAGGAAATCAAAACTCCAAGGCAGAGTTTCTCAAAGTATAGATTTATTAGGCATATCATATTAGCACAGCTGGTGAAAACCCGAATCTGAAATCCCACCCCCCGGTTTTCCCCACCCATTCAAAGTCCAAAGTTCTCCCCTACATTACACACATCCATCTTATCTCTCCACCCTGGATGCCTCCCTACCACACCTCTCCAGGTGCTGGTGAGAATGTCCTTGGTTCCCAGAAGAAAGAATGTTATTTTGGCTTCATATTCTGCTCAGCTATCTCTACTCCCCCCCCCACCCTTCCGTTCCCACAGCTCCAGCCAGCCTTGCTCCAGCAACCCTGAAAATTCTCAAAGACGGCTCCAGGGAGGCATGCTGATTTTCAAGTGATATATGATAATGAAAAACAACTTGGGCTTTTTGTTAGCTGTTCTCCTTTTTTCCTAACATATTCCACACTTTCTGATAAATCTGTCAAAGCAGTTTACAATTCGGAACTCTTTTTTATAGTGCTAATAAGAGAGTAATGATGTCACATAGGTTCACAAGTCTAAGTCAGTAAATGACACTTCCTCATTATTCACTACATTTAAGCAGCAGATTATAAGAAAAGAAGAACCTGTGTCACTTCATCACTCTCTTATTAGCACTATAAAAAAGAGTTCCGAATTGTAAACTGCTTTGACAGATTTATCAGAAAAGAAGAACCTGTGTCACTTCATCACTCTCTTATTAGCACTATAAAAAAGAGTTCCGAATTGTAAACTGCTTTGACAGATTTATCAGAAAAGAAGAACCTGTGNAATCTATACCGTGTATGGGCTCTGGGAAGTCGGGGGGGGGGAGGAAGGTGGGGTGTTGGGGGGTAGGGTAGGGGGAGGGAGGAATATATACTAGGTTAGATACGATGTAAAAATATATATATAAAAAAGCAATAAAAAACAAAAGGTCATGGGATAATGATACCAAAGTAGAATCTATAATATTGTCCCACATTGATCTTGGAATTGATTTATTTCCTCTCGTGCTGAAACACGGGCTGATTATGACAAACTCAGTTAACAGGATAATGCTAAATGTTCATCACTGTTGGCCATACTTCCCCCGTCCTTATTCTTCTCCGTTCGAAGCACCAAAACTACCTATATATACATATACTGCGTGTATTGAATGGAAAATTGTTTTGTCTTTCAGGCTTTTTTCCAACTTATAAAATTACGAAAACTTGGGCTTAGCGATAATGAAATCCAGCGACTTCCGCCAGAGATAGCAAACTTCATGCAGCTGGTAGAACTCGATTTGTCTCGAAATGGTAAGCATGAATATAAATCTGTATTAGGGCTTCTTTTTTTTTTTTACAGCATGGTTGAAAATGAGTCAGCCTTAATTATCGCACTATAGAATTAGTTGGCAAATAGGTTAATGTACCTCTTCTTACTCTTCACGACTGACTTGGAAAAACAAACTATTCATATCCAAATGAAAAGCAAGCCAATGAAGGGCTTGCCTAAGACAATAAGGTCCCATGTTAGCTTGGCATGAAATTGCCCCGGTCCATCCTCCTTTTGTTTGAATAGATCTTAAGACTGGCCCAAACCCTGCATTATTACTGCCTTTTTTTTATGCTGGCTTAACTGTGGCATGCGAAGTTTGCCACATATCCACATTATTTGAGCAACAGCAGCTACTCTGCAGGACTGGACAAGATTTATGCAGTGTGTTCATCAAATGCCTGGATACACACTTTGCATAATGGGATATTTTTTTTTAGTTTTTCCTTGGTGTATGGTATTAACAAGGTCGTTGGGGTTTTTTTTTTGGCGGGGGAGGATAGCGGGGAAAAGTGTCTTGTTACAACTCAGTCACCTGTAAATTATTTAGTAAGCACTGCCAAGCACGAGGCATAAACCCAGTCNAACAATTTTTGAAACCCACCACTGAGCCAGCTGGAAGTCAGAGGTCATCCCTGATCCCACTGCTTTTTTGCCCCCCCCCCAAAAAAAATAATGGTCATTGTGCTTCTCTGTTTAGATAAGATCATTTGAAAAGATGATCCAGTGGAGCAGGGCTTGTTTAATTTCTGATAAGTGAAAAATTAAATTAATCCTCTACTTTTAAAAAAGCTTCTCTTTTGCTATGCCTGTTTCTTATTGCTGGGAACAAATTGAATAGAATAAGAGTGGTGATGGCACAGTAATTCCTTGATTTTTCTGCTAGAGGAAATACTGATCAGCTCATAATGATATCAGCTGCAGTTCAAGGATCAGCAGGAGAGACAATCACAGGTTAGCTGAGCCACCTTGAAGGACCGAGGTGGGAAACTTCAATGGTGTTGAAGCATCCCTAAACTTCCGCATAAGCAAATGGCAGAGCTAGTAGGGCTGATAATTTTAGGATACTGCATACCTGCATTACATTTATGTACCTTTGAAAATAAATGCACGTTTCGTTCTCCCTTCTTGGCTGGCTCCTTTCTAACGCTAGCGGCAATAATAAAATTATAATTCACAAATGATAATTTTTTTTAATTTTTATATGCGGTACATTTTTATATAAAAATTATACAAAAAAGGCTTTTTTTACTTACTGCTAGGTAAATCTAGAAAATTTCTGACGTACGCTACAAAACAGGTAGCATTAAGCCACATATTATATACTTTATTTTATTTCATGGATGCCAGTTACCCAGTTTCTGTTTCTGATCATTATATCAATTTAACGTTCAATCCAAGATTGTAAATGTATTTTGCCGCAAATCAGTTTAGAGGCAAGGGTTTAGCTTATCTAAGGAGGGAAAAAGCACATTTGAACCGAGGTTCCAGTTTGCTTGTTTATATGAAATCTATAATAGCAATAGCAATAGCAGTTAGACTTATATACCGCTTCATAGGGCTTTCAGCCCTCTCTAAGTGGTTTACAAGAATCAGCATATCGCCCCCACAGTCTGGGTCCTCATTTCACCCACCTCGGAAGGATGGAAGGCTGAGTCAACNAAATGTTTGGAACCTCTTCTGTAGGTGTGGCTTGCTTTCCGGGTCCACTGGTGGAACCTCTTCTAACCGGCCACCAGGCCTAGCAGGGATTGTTGATTTTGTTTTCAAAATAGGAATATTTGGTCTTCCTTCCTTCCTTCCTTCCTTCCTTCCTTCCTTCCTTCCTTCCTTCCTTCCTTCCTTTTTCTGAGAAATCCCTGTTTCATTGTTTTCTTGTCTTCACTCCTTGAATAACAGTATTGTTTTCTTTATTTAGATATTATTTTTGAGATTGGACTAGAATATCTAGACTCAATCAACTAATTTTGGAAAGCAAAAATAGATCTGACTCGTACTTGTATGGAAGATGTGAGTGAGAATTACTAGGGTGGAAAGTTTAAAAAGTAGGAAACTACTTCTGCATTTTTGTTAAGCAAACTGGAGGGGCTATAACTATGAAGTCACAGGATCTGAGCTTTACTTCATGGAGGCTTAATCTGATTTTGTAGTTGAGAATTGCCTCTTCGGCTTAATTCTTGCCAAGTTTCTTCTTTGAGCCTGTATTTATATCTGAATTGTAGTATGCAATTCAGTGTTGTTATGCTGTTTTAACGCCTAAGCATTTGGACAATGAGCAGAGTTTTGTGCAATGGTTAATGTAAAGTCTTAAATTACAGTTTTTCCACAATTATATCTACAAAAAATCTCATTTCATAACTATTCTCTCAAGAAGCTAATCATGCTTACTTTCACCTGGCTCACACAGCTAACCACAATTTCTTAAACAATTCAGCTGTCTGGGTTTACAGATCACAAACAGGATCAGCTCAAGACAAGGAATTTCCATCTCTCCAGACCTTCAATTTTAGGGAGTTGTGCAGATCAGTCTTCAGACTGGCACGCTGAGAATAGTGCTGTGACTGGTCTGTATTTTGTGGTTTCAACCACTTGAGATTAAGGAAACAAAAATAGTTTGAGCTTTGAGCCAAGAGACAAAAAGCATAGGAAATATCTCTGAGAATTAAGACTTTTTTTCCCCTACTTGAAGAACTATCAAGAGGAAGGGTTCGCTGTTGTTGTAATTTTATTTTGCGTAGTAAGGATAAATCTATGTTTGCATTAATGAACTTCTAACATATTACAAAAATTTCATACAGTTACATAGAGTTGAAAATAGAGTAATACGTCCCATGGCCCTCACTGGCCTGCACAGCATCTCTGGTGCATATTTTCACAACCCATGCAAGCCATCACATATTTGCACATATCATTCATATCCTGCACCATCAAGCAGCCCTTCATTCACTCTCTCACCTGACAGTAGCCATCTACATGCCCGATGGCCTTGCACTTGAAACTTCCTAATGGCTTCCCAGCAGTGAATAGCAATAGCAATAGCAGTTAGACTTATATACTGCTTCATAGGGCTTTCAGCCCTCTCTAAGCGGTTTACAGAGTCAGCATATTGCCCCCAACAATCCGGCTCCTCATTTCAGAAGGATGGAAGGCTGAGTCAACCTTGAGCCGGTGAGATTTGAACAGCCGAACTGCAGAACTGCAGTCAGATGAAGTAGCCTGCAGTGCTGCATCTCTCAATGGGGAAGCTGGCTGGAAGCTGGCTGGAAG